TGTGTTCCTGCTTCCTCTGCTCTAAGATCCCCTTCTGCAGACCCGGGAAGAATCCACGTTGTACAGATGAGTAGGGCTGAACTGGGGCTTGCCAGAGGGCTGAAAAACCTGATATGTCCTGACTGCAGAGTTCAGGAATGGGGCTGGCAACAGAACGTGGAGCGCATGCCCGAGGGGAAGCTTGAAATGGTTGTGTAGGTAAAATCCCTCCTCCTTCCTACAGAACAGAATAGAGGAAGCAGAGGTCTAGAAATGAATCTAAGCGCTGACAATTGCAATCAAGAGTATTTCGTTTCTTGTACGGGGGTGCAGGGGGGAAGGAGGTGCAGCGGAGGAGAGGGTACGGCTGTGTAGACCAAAATCTGTGGGCTGTTTCAGGTTACCTACTGCTGCACTGCTGTTGCCCGACTCACATCTTAGTGGCCCAGGACAGCATTTGATGTCTCTGAATCTGAGGGTCACATCTTATGTCCCTGACTCTGAGGGTGGGTTGGGTGGTCATGCTGCTCACTGGGGCTCTGAGCATGCCATCAGCTGTTGGGTCAGCTGACCCGGGGCATTTCAGGTCATCTTCTATCCTCCGGCCTCCACTGCGGAAGGGCTGGGGGCAGAGGTGTGTGCCACCACCATACCTGATCATAGCCTGGGCTCCCCCTTCCCTCTTCACATCTCTCCGAGTGTACACACATGTGCACACGCGCATGGAGGCCTGAGGCTGACGTCAGGAACCATCTTTCATTGCTCCTTCATGACTAAGGCATGTCCTCTAAGCTCCCCGGTATGGCTAGTCAGCTTGCTCTAGGGATCCCGTCTCTGCACTCTGCAGCATGCCTATGGGTTTGGGAGTATCTCAACTCTGGTCCTCAGGCTTGTGGGGCAAACGCTTCAACTGCTGCACCACCTTCCAAGTCTGTGTCTTTATCGGGAGTCATGTTCCAAGGAAATAAAGGCAGAAGCTGCCAGACGGCTCCACACATGGGGAATTTGATGAAATCTGACGCACTATAAAGGGTGGGGACATAAGGAGGTTTTTGCTTTGTTTCATTGAGACAGGGTCTCACTGTGTATCCCTGGCTCACCTGGAACTCACTCTGAAGATCAGGCTGATTTGAAAATCACAGAGATCCACCCACTTTTACCTCCTAAGTGCTAGGATGAAAGGTGTGCACTGTGCCCAGCACAAAGAAACTTTAAGTCACAATAACTTAGAAAGCATGGGTTATGAAGGGCCTGGAAGGAAGCTAAGTTGAGGGCACTTGCTTGGGAAGTGTAAGCCCTTGGGTTCAATCCCCAGCACCCATTTTCCAAGAGAAGGCCTATGTTTGAATTGCAAAGAAGTACTAGCAGTTAGCCTCCTATTACGGTACTAGTAATGGGGTATGGTCTCCAGTGAGAAGGGACTGCAAGTGAAGCTCTTCACTGCAGGAGACAGGAACGAAGATGGCCAGTCTGTGTAAAGGGTCAGAAAAAGACACTGCTAAGACATTGGGAAATCCAGTTAAAACAGCCTGATTGTCTGTGAAATTGAATTCAGGCTGCGGCTGCGAAGGGATGGAACCGAGCTGTGCACATGCGCTGCTGTGGGACAGGGTTTTGTACTCCAAACAGGACTCACTGATGAGTCTCAAAATTAATTTAGGAGCTCATGATTCACATTAAAAAAAAAAAAAAGTAATAAGGCCAGGGGCTGAGGAAGACAGTTCCAGAGTTCATCTGAGAATCCACACTAAAAGGCCAGGCATCGATGACACTTCATTATAACCCCAGTGTTGCAGAGGCAGCAAGTCTAGCCCAACCGATGGGTTCAAGGTTCAGTGAGAAGAGACCCTTTCTCAAAGGAGGGAGATGACATCCCTGAGGGTGACAGCTGAGGCTATTCTCTGGCCTGCTGACACACCCCACACACACACACAAATAGACCAACACACACATAAGCACACATACACACACTCTCTCTCTCTCTCTCTCTCTCTCTCTCTCTCTCTCATGAACGAGCAGGCACACACAAGCATCAACAGGCAGATAAATAAAGAGATAAAGCTGGGCCCGGTGGCACACAGTAGTAATTCTAGAACTTGGCAGGCTGAGGTTGGAGTCTGTACTATACTGTGAGCTCCCGGTCAGCCAGAGGCTCATAGTGGAACTGACTCAAATAAACATATAAATAGAAGCACAGTGTATACAGCTATCCTTCTTGATTTTTTTATTTACTTATGTAACATTTACATGTTTGTTAGATAGAATATATATATATTTGCTTATGTCTGTTTTGTTTTGTTTTGTTTTTGGAGACAGTTTTTCTGTGTACCCCTGGCTGTCCTGGAACTCGCTTTGTAGATTAGGCTGGCCTTGAACTCAGAGATTCACCTGCCTCTGCCTCCCAAGGGCTGAGATCAAAGGTGTGTGTCATCACCAGTCATCTATAAATATATTTCTTACTAAAGTTGTGGTCAATGTCTAAGAGCCACTGATGTAATATGTGCTGGGGTAAAGGTAGCTATAGCATGTAATAATACGAAAAAAGTGTTGCTGGGCACAGTGGCACACACCTATAATCCTAGCACTTGGGAGCTGGAAACAGGACGAACAGAAGTTCAACGTCACCCTCAAACACATAACAAGAAGTATGTAGCCATGACTACATACATCTGTCTCAAAAACAAAACCAGCTGGGTGCTGTGGTTTTAATCCCAGCATTGAAGAAGCAGAGGTAAGCAGATCTTTACAGGGAGCTTCACGCCAACCATGGTTACTGTGAGACCTTATCTCAAAAGCAAAATGAGGGGCTGGAGAGATGACTCGGAGGTTAGGAGCACTGCCTGCTCTTTCAGAGGACCTGGGTTCAGTTCCCAGCAACCACATGCTGGCTCACAACCATTTATAGTGAGATCTGGTGCCTCTCTGCCTTGCAGGCATGCAGATGAACAGAACACTGTATGCATAATAAATCTTTAAAAAAACAAACAAACAAAAAACAGCTTTTCCCCTGCCGCCGAATTGCGGAATTGCGCGGAGGCGGAGCCACGGGTGCGGGTCAAGATTCAGCCTCACCGTAATCCACTGCCATGGCCAAGGAAGGCATTGCTGCTGGAGGTGTAACAGACGTCAACACTGCTCTTCAGGAGGTGCTGAAGACCGCCCTCATCCATGATGGCCTCGCACGTGGCATCCGCGAAGCTGCCAAAGCCTTAGACAAGCGCCAAGCCCATCTCTGTGTGCTTGCATCCAACTGTGATGAGCCTGTGTATGTCAAGTTGGCGGAGGCACTTTGTGCTGAGCACCAAATCAACCTAATTAAGGTTGATGACAACAAGAAACTCGGGGAATGGGTAGGCCTCTGTAAAACTGATCGAGAGGGAAAGCCACGGAAAGTAGCTGGTTGCAGCTGTGTAGTGGTTAAGGACTATGGCAAAGAATCTCAGGCCAAGGATGTCATCGAAGAGGACTTCAAGAGCAAAAAATGAATAAATAAAAAATTTGGCTCAAAAAAACCCAAAACAAAACAGTGTGTTAGTATCTGTCAGATACAAAAGGGCTGGAGAGGTGACTCAGCAGTTAAGAACCCTCAGTGCCCACAAAGGGTAGCTCATAACTACCAGTAACTTCAGGTCTGGGGAACTGACACCCTCTTTCTGGCCTCCTAGGGCACCTTCTCTCTCTCTCTCTCTCTCTCTCTCTCTCACACACACACACACACACACACACACAGCTCTGTTCCATTCTGAGAGGTTTCAAACAGAGGGAAATGTGAACAATAAGGTTTCCTTCCGATACACTGAACCCTAATTGGAACCCTGGAAAAGGAACAAACAGGGTGGATGTGAGCTGGGAGGGCTTGTGACAAAGCTGGCTTATCTTCCAGCTGGCACAGCCCTATCTCAGAGGGCAAGCTTCAGGTTGCAGGGACCCACATCACCTGAAACCACATTACATAATTTTAAATATATACATGCCCCCTCCCCAGTGCTAAGCATAGCACCCAGGATCTTACTCATGCCAGGTCTAATCACTCTAATCACTCAACACCAACTCTAGAGCTCTTCTTGTTTTATATGTTTGAAACAGGGTCTCGCTAAGTTTTCCAGGCAACCTTCGACTTTGTGATCCTCTTGCCTCAGCCTCCCAAGTGGCTAAATTACAGGCTTTGGTTTCAAACTCAGTTGACATAAATACTTGTCAGCCCGTCTCCACTGGAAAGCACACTCCCAGACAGTAAGGACTCCCTACCTTGCCCACTGCTGACTCTCTAGGTCCTAGATCCAAGCACTCAATGGACACAGGTGGTGTGACTACCTGAGGGACTGAACTGGGTGGGGGTGAGGAAAGGAGCTACATCGAGTACTGAATTTCCAATTGCTACCGTTCACTAACTACACTTGATAAGCTGTCTGCCCTGTGTTTAGCTGGGTCATAGCCAATCCTGATCCTTTCCCAAACACCCCCTCGGAAGTTCTGTGATTCCTGCTCAGTTGGTCAGGGCAGTGTTACTGCAGCCGAGGAGCAGCAAGGCAGCAACACTGCGGAGGGGACATCAGGCTAACTGTGGTCAACAGCCTGGGAGGCATGTCACTCAGCTGAACCTGGTGGTGCAGACCTGTGAGCCCAGATACTCAGGAGGCTGAGACAAGAGGATGGCACGCTGAAGACCTGCCTGAGTTCTGGAGTGAGTTCAGGGCTAGCCTGGGCAACTTAATAAGACCCTGGGTCAAAATCCAAAGTGAGACGAGGGCTGAGGAGGTAGCAGCAGCACAGCTGGCCCAATGTGCACAAGCCCGGGATGCAATCTCCAGGACTGGGCGGGCAAGTGACAAGAAATATGCTATTCATAAAAGTTCAGGCAGGATTTGGGGCTTGGGATAGGTGCTACCAACCAGAGATACCAACCAATAATCCAGGTGTGGCTTGCAGGATTATTTTATATAAAATGAGCAGTCATTAACCAAGGGACCCTCAGAATGTCATCTGAGCTTAAGGAAGAAATGAAGAAAGACACATAGGAATATGGCTACTTTTTCTTCTCTTTTACTTTGAACATTAGCATGAAGTTGGTTACCGTACACATCCAAAGGCCCAGCATGTTGGGAAAAAAATCATTATATGGCACACCTTGTACCAGAGTCTTAATAAGAATAAAATATACAATACTACATTGAGTGGTTAAAAATACACAAAAAAGTAGTTTTAACAATCTATAAATTTTTTATACTTAAAATCATGATTGAGTTGAAATAAAAAAGTGCATTTCATTGCTAAAAAAATATTGGTATACTTAACACAGGAAGAAACTTATCACCGCGGGGGCTGGACAGGACGCTAGGAAAAAGGATGACTCGGACGCCAGGCATTGTGGGCCAGCTCAGAGGCCGCCTAACTCCATCCATCACACAGCTCCCTGGGCCAAGCAGCCCGCCTCTTCTGCCATGCTTCCCGTCTCAAGAGATCCTGTCCTACCCACCTGCCAACCCCCCAAGGTCCTTTAAGCTTCTTTACAGCATGACAGGTACCTTCCTTCACTAAGTTCCACCTTGACTTGACCTTCAACTGCGCCTCTACAGAGACACAGGGAGACACTGCCTCAGTCTATACAGTCAATCTTTTGACTTTGCAGGCTGGACCAGAAGCAAGGAGCTTCTCTCTTCTCTCACTCATTTGGACAAACATTCAACAGCAAGCTTTGTAAACCTAAGACTAAAGATTCCCGGCAAGCAAACTGGGTTTCCTTTAAGAAAAGAGAAAGCACAAGTGACCTCAGCATTATGGGGACAGCCACCTGCTACCTACCCTGGTCACAGCTTCCATTCCACTTCTGCCTAGTGCTGGAGTTACAAGGAGTCCCCAACTCTATGCGTCCGGCATTGATCAGGTTCTTGGGTCTTGCTGGGGAAAAGGGATCAGCAAGAAAGAAATCAATAAGGGATGCCCTTCCACGGGTAAACACTTTCTGATCTTACAGGGTAAATGTTCACAGGCTGGTGTTTCCCCTAGTGAATACCCAACTTTTCATCTGAAGATGCTCAATGAGCACAATCAAAATTTCCAGAGAGCTGATGAGGGCCAGGAGCCCAAAGACAAGGAAATTCTGGCTTGAAGGGGTGCATGCTGTGGGAGGCCTCCCCACTCAACTGGAAGACCTGGTATAACCGATACCTATTGGAGCAGACCAAGTGAGAGCACGTGCCCTTACACACACTCCAGCAGTCCCACTGCTGTCACAGATGGGATGGTGCTGGGCTGCAATGGGACGCAGAGGAGGAAATAGGGAAGAGGCGTGCCTTTCAGCTCTGCATTTAGTTAGTAAACACTGGATCCTTCGTGACAAGGGCCTCGCTTCCAATCTCATGTCACCAGTGTTAACAAAGGCTGGATGATTATGCTGCCTGGCCCACACAGATCTCAGACCCAGGAATCTCTGCTAACATCATGAGGCCGGAGCAACTACTGAACTTAGAGATATGTGAAAATGTTTTCTTCAAATTCAATCAGTGAGCCAAGGGATACCCTAGAAGGGCATTAAAAGCTGAGAAGAAAGTACTTTAGCGCTCCCTTATGGTCAAAACAAGTACTGCAGATGGAATAGAATTAGCTCAAGGAATGAAAAAAATTATATTCAAATTTGTGGAAGATAATTGACTTGATTTTCTGGAGCATCTGGCGATAGAACTTGAGAAGTAAACACTTATTACACCACACTGTTTCTTTCTTTTCAACTTAGAATCATACATGGGAAGATACTTTCCAATGCTGCCAAGCAGTCTCAGGTCCTATGCAGGGTGAACGAGACCCTGCTTCTGGCTACACGGCCCCGCTCACCTACAAGGCAGACTGGAGAGGCTGTGTTCATTTAGAGGAGCCAGGGATGCAGAAACAAGCTGCTTCCTTCTCAGACCCGGACAGGCAGGCTCTTGACTCCACTGAAACCAGCCAGCACAAGCATCAGATTTCCTTTTGACCTTAAGCAAAACCCAGCTTCCAGATCCTTTTGAGTATCTCCATTTCCTATGAAAATCATTTTCAAGTAATTTGTCACATTCCCGATCTCACCAGATGCTCAAATAGGACAACGGTAACCTGGAGTTAAGCAACGGAACACTTCGGAGGGGGCAAGATCCCTCTGATACCTGACCAAAGGCATCCTAATAACACACAAACAAGTGGCCATCCTTTCCAAGGGATGTAGTGCCCCCCAGTGATAGGTAAGTATGGCTCTCCACTACCCGAAGGCCTGGAACTCTGGAGAGAAAACTGACTGGTTTAAAAGCAGGTACTTTTAGGCATCCAGTGCTCCAGAAGTGACTGTCTAGACCACGGATGGAAAACAGCAAGCTGAAGCTAGCTAATGACTTCTACAGTACAGAATCTACATCTGACAATTTGCATACTGCTCTCATTCTAAATAGCCAGTGAAACATTCAAACGTCTTGACTCTATATTATTGAACTGGTTCTCACAATTTGGTACTACCCCACCAATTAACATCCTGTCTGTTCCCAGACAAAAAGTATTACAAATTTATCAACAGCTGCCCTTTGAGATGCCTGCCTCATGCAGCTATCAGTCCTGGATGCCTCAGTAACAGTAACTTTAAGGATCGAGGCAAGAGCTTGTAAGTCAGAAAGCAAAGACTAAGGTCAAATGCTCATTAGTGTTCACTCACCTACAAAAAAATAATTCCAATTTCCTCTCTGAAGGAGCTCATCTGTTTCCACTTTAGGAGGAGACAATGAACCCATTACACAGCACAAACTTTAATCTGAGATGAGCAAGACCAGCCAGTTGCTAAAGGAATTCTTATCAATGAAGTGCACATACTACACACAGAACACACTTCGGTTTCCTTTTTATTACATCTTTCATATATGTATACACCAAGTACACTTTTGAAATGACCTGTAAGAGGACAACTAGAAAAGAAAATAAACTGGGGTTTGCACGGGGGACAGGTGGCTGGATGAGAGGGGCTGATCAAAAAAATCAATAAAGGACTTCTGTTAACCCGAGAGCACTTTTAAATTCCTATGACTAAAATAAGATCACGGGAGGAACCCTGTAAAACATTTATGAAAGAAAGGATGTGCAGCAATAGCAGCATTCAGGAAGACTTCAGACGAGAAAAAGATGGCCCAGAGACACACTGGATGACCTTCGATTGTAGAGGAACACCCAGCCTGCAGTGAAGGACAGAAAGGTGGCAAAGACAAGAACAGTTCTAGTACTAGAGGTGTCGTATGTGGGGAGTAAGACAAGCAGAGAAGCTACAAGGGTAACCCAGCAGCAATATGGAGGAACAAAACACTGATGTGTTCCCAATCCTCAGCCAGGTTCTAGTGAGTTTGTAGCTAAGCCCTTTGGAATAAGGGTGAATTCCAATACTCATGGAGAATGAAACAATCAGAGGTAGGATCCAGACCAGGGAAAGAAGGCTCCAGGACACGGGCTTGTCGAAGGCACTCGAGAGCAGAGTGATAGACAGCAGAGGGTCAGACGGACAGCAATTACTCACTCCTGTGCTACAGTAAGAGAGACAACTCCAGGAAAATGTCACTGAGTGAGCAGAGTGGAAAGACCACTTCATCACAGCCTCTAGCAAGGAAACAAGAAAAAGGAACTTGTTTGCAGAATATGTAGGTCTGCAAAGCACTTCTGATTTTAACATGATTTTTAAAAATAGTATGGCATCTGATTCTTAAACAAATTTACTGAAACTAGAGTTTCAAGGCTGAGAATTTAAGGAATTTTATTTTCCTTGGAGTCTTGCAAAAGCTATCCTCTAAGATGAAAAGGTCTGAATGTAAGTCTATAAAAAAGCTTAATGAGTACAAAAGTATAGAACTGTGAAGGTGGCCAGACTGACAACGTTTATGGCTTCCATAGAGTGTAGCGAGGATCTCTGGGTTGCTTTATCGAGGTAGTTCCAGGGTTGGAAGGTCAGCGTTACTTCTCATGAATGCTACGGATGACAAGCAGATTAGCTAGTGAGTTGCTACTGCGTAACGATGCCATTATTTCTAACGGCCAATGACCTTTTATTCCTGAAAAAGAAAGAAAAAGATGGAGAGAGAATTCTTGGGAAATTTTCTAACTTAGTTTAAGTAAAGAAAAAAAACTTAAAAACTGGTAATTCTTTACTCCACTTTAGAGTTTGAAGAATTCCAACTGTTTTTTTTTTTTTAAGTTGATAAAATGGTTAGATCTAACACACCTCTTTTCATGATGTGTTCCACATATAGTCTGGAACAGCATTAAAATCTCTATCATGTGGACCATCAAAGCAACAAAAGTGGTATTTCTGTACGGCAGCGTAAACAGGAGCTTTAACAGAAATGGGTTCTTCTGACAGGCGTTTTAGGTTTTCTCTCTTTCTCATAAAAACTCACCCACCATAGTGTGTTTTCCTAACCAAAATCTGCAAGAGAGGAATAAATCCACACACACACACCCTGCAATGGAGTTCTCTACTTCATATTCTCAAATTTTAAATCTTCCAGTGAGATAAAAATGAAACTAAATACATATCTATTTAACAACAGTAAAAACTGAAAAAAAAATCAAGAAGTTAAAAATTCAAAGCTTCAGAGAGTTTGCATCTGCTTGGCAGTGTGTGTGTGGGGGGGTCACGCTCAGAAGCCAAGGCTCTTAGACAGGCAACTCTGGAAGGGCCCGTGCTGAAGGACTAAGACAGTACATGGAAATGATTTTCAAAGGGTTTTTCTGAATTTTATTAAAGTTTTATACGGAGACTTCTGCACTTGCTAAATATAAGAATTAAGTAAAAAATATACAGAAAAATGAAGCTACATGCCATTAAATGGTTCATCTTCTCTTCATTCAGTTTTAAAGTCTAACCATTATGAGCCTACCTAACTCAATCTGAGAGTAGCAGCCTTTCATTAGGCTAAAAAAGTGTATATCCAAATGATAAGTCTATAAGAAAAGAAAAAAAGATGTACAACCCAACCTCTAAAAATGTAATGCCAACTCAAAAACGCCCTCGTGGAAGCCAGGCAGGGTGACGAAGGCACCCATAATCCCAGCACTTGGGCAGCTGAGCTGGGGGAGTCATTGGTTTGAGGCTATGTAATTCACATAGGGAGTTCAAGGCCAGCTTTGTGAGACCATTTCTCAAAACAACAACAACAACAACAACAAGTTCCTGGGTGCTGGCTGTTGTAGTTCACTCCTTTAGACCCAGTCCTCAAGCGGTGAGTTTGAGGCTAGCCTGGTCTACATATAAGTAAATTGGTAACAATAAAAACCATTTGAAGATAAAGTAATCCTTGTGACAATACGTGATTTTGAAGATAGCATAAAATGGCAACAAGAAAGCCTCAATTTAATATCTGTTATTTTGAAATGAGGTCTATGTCTTTACAAAAGTACAGATATGGGCTTAGAACTCAAACTCCTCCATGATCTTTTTCCATGAACAGATGACAAGAACTGAACAGGTTCTGCAGAACCGTGGGTACCACAGCGCACATGGAGAGCACACACATGACGCAACTTCCATCTTAGTGGCGGACCTCAAGCATATTTTCAACCCTGAGTTTGAGTCTTCAGCACGTTAAACCCAATGCACCTGCATGTTTCAGGCTCAACCCTGTGGCCCTGGGCTCAGAAGCATCTCGGTGTGAATTTCACTATGCATATGTTCATTATTCAAACATGACACTGATGAGACCCATTTTTTAAAGAACAGGTTTCTTACAAATCCCAAGTCAGGGAAGATATACTTATCCAGGAAAAAAATTGGCATTTCTAGAATGTTCTACAATACATTTCAGTAAGAATGTATTACACAGTGTGACAGTGCTAATTCACTTTCTTAATTCCTTACTTTCTGCTTTTGTTAAGGATAGTGGTGGTTATTGAGTTACTACTGGATTTCCTATGTAGCAGACACTTTCTTATGGCTATAGTCATTTGAATAAAAAAAAAATCAGATCTGACTACCTGAATTTTTCAATGAGTATTCATAGTACATCCATAAAATGGTTGATTCAACAGCCTTAAGTCTAGAATTTAGAATCTCTGTCCAATACTGTATTTAGCACAAAATAAGATAAAACCAATTAACTAAGCTATAACATACTTTTTTGATAAAAGTATTTTAATATTATAGGCTTGACCATGAAATATTGATATGTCTACATGAAAGTGTAGATCTGCAGACTTTCCATGGGATACAAAGGAGACTGTGGAAGTGATCAGAGAAGGAACTGGCTTCCTATTTGGCTTGGGTATATGGGGGCTCCAAGAATGTATGCAAATATTAAAACTACCATTCGTTAAAATTTATGCCTAGAATTGGAGGAAAAGTGTGTCCCGAGATACTTTCCTGTCTCAGCACACAATCTTTCCTATGCATTACAGAAGACAAAGGTAAAACTGTAGTAAATCTAGAAATATTAAACCAAAAGCTAATGCAGAGTATGATATGTGGAAGCAGGAACCTAACTTCAATCCAGGGTCCACGTGTCCCCCTCCAGAGTTACGTGGCCAGAAAAAAAAGTGCGTGACGCATATCTGCACATTTCATATCAAAGATAAATAAATAACAGCTAAAGTTCTGATTTACGAGCCTGAGGAAAGAGAAGTGAGGAAGAGAAGTGGAGGTGGCCACTCTTGGAACTCAGTCTCTAAGGTGAAGAAGTAGAAAACGTGTAGTTTCGTGGTCCACATTTGCCAGCTGACTGAAACCACTGTGTCGGCCCTTCTCTTCAGTTTCCTATATAATCCGCTCCAGGGTGATCATGCCCTGTGGAAGTTGCCCAGAGGCAGGGGTGTTGCTCCTTCCTCGCCTAACTGTGGAGGACGAGGCAGCAGTACCTGGGGTTTCCTCTCACTACAATTTAAATGGCATATGCAGATCAGAGTGACACCCCCATTTTAGACACTACAGACATTTTAAAACTTAGAAGCCAATTGTCTTCTCATTCGCATTTCTCAGCCTCTATCAGCAATCACACTTATGATTTCAGTTCACCATTTAGCTTCTCCTAGTGGTTCTGGGAAACATAGCAACCTCAAAATTGACAAAGTTCCTAAGAGAAGTGAGAAACAGACGTGATCGAAGGGAAACCTCGCCACTTCGTTCTGAAGGTATTCACAATGTTACTCAGATTTTCAAATCAGACAAGCTTTTGGTGATCCTACTCCAACTCACCACCCCACTGAATCCACAGAGGGGCTCAAAGGGACACCAAGGATGGAGCATGTCAGGGAGCTGATGGACGGAATGCCCAGCAAAGATGGTCAAGTTCCTGAGTACTTATGAACCTTGCTCTTGCAGTAACCTGGTCTGGTGACCCTCACCCAGCCCCAGAAGCACCTTTGTGTTGTACGGATGTTAGAATAAATTTGAAATAGAAGTTATTATATGCATCTTTAAGAATCACATTTTGATGATTATAAAAATTTATCTATTTTACAACATGGGTTTAGCTACACTGAAAAAATTACACAGCTTATTGAAATACATTTCATTTTAGAAACAGACTACTAAAGTCTATACAAAAACTCTAAAATAATTTCTGTAGTAAAATAAAGAGTGTGTTAAAAGAGCTACACAAAGAAGAAAATTCCCATTTTCTCTATAATGCTTGATATTGTGTGAATTGTGGCCAGCTTGACTGCAGTCAGTACCAGAAGCTGAAAAGAACTTATTATATTACACAGTGATACAGTTAATGCTCTGGATTAATCTCACAGCCTTCCCGATTAGTATAAAGGAAACCAGGCCTGTCCCCTCTTTGAGGAGAAGACCAGGATATAAAAGCAAGCATACCTCATCCGCTGATATGAAATTATAAAATCCCACAATCTAAGTATCTGAAATTTATAAAAGTCATCAGAAAATGCAAGCAGATTGGGCTGTAGTTCAGTGGTTCCCCTGGTTGCGAGGGCAGTCTTCTTGTTCCCTCCTTTGGGTCAGTCTGATCGCTCCCCAGGACAATGGTCAAAGTCCGGAAGGGGCCATGGAGACAAGGAGACCCCAGAGAGGCACAGCTGCACCCCTTCTGCCAACTCACCATGGGGATGACACTCTGGCTGGCGCTAATGATGCTGGGCCTGGGGCACGCTGTTCTTCTCTGTCAGATGTCTCAGAAAGGTGTCCTCACTCTGGCCTCTGTGGTTTAGGGGCTCACTCTTGAAGAGGGCCGGAGGTGGGGGCAGGTGAGGCACAGGTGGGATGGGGAGGTGATGTGCGTGGTGTGGATGCGTGTGGATGTGCAGGTGCGAGAAAGGATGTGGGACCGGCCTTGAGGGAAGCGCGCCACCCACGGGGTTCATACTGACGGCAGGGGCTGGGCTCGTAGGAGTGTTGGCCACAGCTGGAGCAGGAGCAGCTGGCGCCGTGGACAGAGGGATCTGGACAGCTGGCGGTACGTTCACTGGGCTGGTCACTCGGAAGCACTTCTCCTTGTGAGCCTTCAGCATGTTGGAGAAACGGAACCGCTGACCACACACGTCACAGGGGTAAGGCTTCTCGCCTGTGTGAGTTCTGCGGTGCCTCTTCATGTTGGGGCGACTGGTGAAGCTTTTGCCACAGATTTCACAGATAAAAGGTTTCTCTCCTGGGATGAGCACAGACAAACAGGGTTGGTGTTCCTGCCACTCACGCTTCCACCCACAGCACTTGATTCCCCAAACGGAGACGTAACAGGTCACAGTAGGCACAAATACAACTTACAGCCTACCATGCTGGAAGGAGAGAGGAGGAAAATGGGAGGTAATGGTGGATGGTGCAGGTGGGGCCTATGGACACCGTGTCTCTCTCCATTATCTACCGCTGTGCCAGCTCACGGTCTCTTCAGCTACCACCCTCTTTTCCTTGCAGCAGGTGCTCACTCTGTTGTGTATTAAGTATTCAGGGAACCTGGCTCTACTCCAGTCACTATATCTGGTAGCTTTCCTTCTTACAGCAACAAGAGTTAAAGGTTTGTAAGATTCTTATCCCCTGGTGGTGGTAGTGGCTGAAGTCTTTAATCCCAGCACTTGAGAAGCAGAGGCACGTGGGTCTCTGTGAGTTCGAGGCCAGCCTGGTCTACAGAGCGATCCAGGACAGCCAGGGCTACAGAGAAACCCTATCTTACCTATAGGGTTTGATAAGAATATATATATATTCTTATCAAATGCTATGGTGCATATATCCTTACATACACAGAGATGATTAAAATGATTAACTTCATTTAGTGGATGTTTTCTTGAAAGATACTGAATTTTGGTAAATCAAATCCAATCAATCCTAAGAATTTTGAAAGGGCTGGGTGTGTAATCCCACGCCTTTAATCCCAGGACTCTGAGACAAGGCCAGCCTGGTCAACAGAGAGACCCTGTCTCAGAAAGGAGGACAAAACAAGCAAGTCATTTATGGTTGGACATGGTGGGAACACCCCTGTCTGTAATCCTAGCACACGGGAGCCAAAGGCAGGAGGATTGTCATGGGTTCCAGGATAACCTGTGCTTCAGTATGACAGTCTGTCACAAAGAACAAACAAAAAAAATTCAAAAGGCACTCACATAAATAACTCTTTTAAAAATAGTTATAAAAGAAAATTTTCAGTATTATAGATTAATTTTTTTTTTGAGGCAGGATTTCTTTGTGTATCTTTGATTGTCCTAGAATTTACTCTGTAGACCAGGCAGGCTTCAAACTCACAAAGATCTACCTGCCTCTGCCTCCCTGGTTCTGGGTTTAAAGTATGTGCCACCGTCTGGCTATAGATGAATTTTTATATCTCAGGCTTTCTTAAAGTGAGACTTTCATTTACAAAGCAAGTCTGTCCCAGGTATGGTGGAGCATGCCTCTGACCTCAGCACCTACAAGACCAAGGTAGGAGGACTGCTTTGAGTCTGAGATCAGCCTGGACTGCACAGCAAGATTTTTCAAGACAAAAACAAAACAAAACAAAATAAAAAACGGGAAAGTAAAACAAATTTATGGTTTGGGTTTAAAGACAGATCCGAAAATGACTACCGACAAGTACTAGGGGCTATCTGTACCTTCGCCAAGAGATCCTTACCAGTGTGTGTCTTCATGTGTTCGTCAAAGTACTGCTTCATGTTGAAGTCCTTGCCGCACCACTGGCACATGAACTGCTTGTGCCCAATGTGGATGCTCATGTGCGAGCGGAGCTGGTACTTGTACTGGAACCTCTCGTCGCAGTTCTGCATTGGACACAGGGGATGGTGCTGGATGCCAAGCACAGAGGCATCACTGCAGCCTACCCTCACAGGCTTACAGGTTTATTTTCATACTCAAAACACAAGCTGCTTATGGCAGCTGTTTGGATTTGCCATGTTCCCGTAGCTGAGTTATGAATACAAGGGAAATTTTTTCATGTAATTATCACTGGCTCATACTCTACTTCTCTGAGCCACTGAGAAAGAAAAGTCTGCATATTACTTCCAAGCTACCCTAAGAAACTCAACTGTGTGCTAAGGGGACATTTCTCTGCCTAGCAGAGAGAGAACAACAGAAACCTGGTGCACACCCGAAGCTTCAGTGCACAGCCTTGTGCTTTGCACCCCACACTCCATTCTCACTGCTGCACCATCAATACAACCCTAGCTGTGGATCTGGCCTGTGTGTGGCTTGTTCCTTACCTCACATCGGAAGGGTTTCTCTCCAGAATGCTGCAAGGAGTGCACCTTGAGTGACATACTGCGCTTGAAAGACTTTCCACAGGTTTCACATGTAAACGGCATGTCTTTTGTGTGTGCTGTAACACAGAAAGCATTTAAATTCAAAACAATTCTACTAGAAGACCCAGCCTGGAAGAGACAGCTGCCACAGGCATGGCACGCTAGCAGCAGAGCTCCAGAGGGAAAACCAACAGCGACGCTGGAGAGAATCTGGTGGGAATACTGCACTTTCCAACTCGGTGATGCTGAAGACATGCTGTATTTAGTCTCAACACGTTAAAACTGATTGCAGGATGGTGGCTGTACTCAGCCTGCCCAATGTGGAGCAGACAGAACCCCAGAGATCGCCATAGGCAGAGAGCAGAGGGGCAGACAGACTTACCGACCATGTGTTTCCGCACATGAGCCATGGTATAGAACTTCTTCTCACAAATCTCACAGGCAAATTTTTTTTCTGCATATCCATGGACAATCTTGATATGTTCATGAAGGGACCAGAGTTTCTTGAAGGACTTGTTACAGGAAACACACTGAGCAGGATAAACAGAAAGGGTCTTCATTTATCAAGACTTCAGGAGGCCATTCTGCCTCCTGGCAGATGAAATGGATCTACTTTAGATTCGTAGCACAAGGTCAGAATCTTGACAAAACCTATTCCTCCATGAAGCCCATATTCTAACACCAACAACTGTAAGTTCTATTTTCCAAGATCTATTTTTATACCTTAGGAGCATGCAAACAATGGCAGAATCTAAGGTAAGAAGTGGAAAGTTCCACTAATGACAAAGAACTAATTGCTATTACCACTTCAGTGTTGCACACAGTGGCCTCAAAATTACTATCTGGCCAAGGCCAGCCTCAAATCATGGTCCCGCCTCTATCTCCCAGGTACAGGGAGCATAAGTATGTGCCAGCATACCTGTTAGACCTTTAGGCTTGTTTATGGCATAGACCAGCAAACACAATTGTTTCCTACCCAGGGTGCCATGCAGTTAAGAGGTATTTACCAGAGAGCATAAGTTTGAAATTAGAACAAATAAAGGCAAGATATGTAAGTATTACAGATCTGAAAACTATAACAAGATCCTTCTGCATTAGAGAACACATTTTGAAAAATACTGTAACAAATGCTCAAGGTTTACTAACTTTCCCTAAATCTAATTTACTCTGTTGCCGTTTCCCTCTGACAGAAGCTAATACAACCTCTAAACCACTGGCCATTCTCCTGCTCCCCTCGCCCGATCCCAGACCTCCTTCCATCACAATGCTTGGTTCCTCAGACCATAGCTCCTTAGCACCCTGCACTATCAAGCATAAAGTATGACTAAATCAACAAAACAATATCACAAAGTGCATGACAACTGCTAGGCTCTGAGGAATGAGCACAGGGAACTCAGTTACCAAAGCCTCTTGAGTACCACTGTCACTGCAGAAGAGAAGAACCCAAGAGCTCAGAGACAAGGTGCTGGCTGGACACTGCCCTGGAAAAGGACATGCTACTCTGTGACCTCCTCTTCTGCAAGGGTTAATTTTCCCTTATTATGAGGTTGCCAGGATTATCAGGCGCTGTATGAAGAAACAGAGTGCAAAATTCTTTAGGAATGTGAAGGGTTTCCTTTCTAAAAAATTATTTTTATTTATGTATTTGAATGTTTTGCCTGCTGTATGCATATATACTGCATGTGTGCCTGGTGCCCAAGAAGGACAGAAGAGCGTGTTGGATCCCCTGGAACTGGAGTTTAAATGGTTATGAGCTGCCACGTGGGTGCTGGGTACAAACTCAGGTCCTCTGAAAGAGCAGACAGTGCTCCAAACTGTTGAGCCATCTCTCCAGTCTAGGAATGTGAAGAGTTTTCATCCAACAGAACCCATACAACGTAAGCACAAAAGTGCACATATCGTAATGAGGAAAAGCACAGGAGCTCATAGAAAAGAGCTGCTATTTCCTGTAAAGCTAAGCAGATTCAAGTGAAAAGAAAAGAAAAACAATCTACAAAATAGGGCTGGGGAGATGGCTCAGAGGTTGAGCATTGCCTGCTCTTCCAAAGGTCCTGCATTCAATTCCCAGCAACCACATGTGTCTCACAACCATCTGTAATGAGGTCTGGTGCCCTCTTCTGGCCAGCAAGCATACACACAGACAGAACATACATAATAAACAAACAAACAAACAAACAAACAAATAAATAAATATTTTTTGTTTTAAAAAAAGAGCCTACAAAATAAGCAGCTCCTAGAGACAGAAATGAGGAACGTCTTTTCAGTAAGGAGCCAATATGAAATCCACATTTGACCTCTAGGGGGCAGCACTGTACTATGCTCCGTTGGACTGACCTGGCAACAACTGCCTGCCCAGACATGCCTGCCCAGACAACTGCTGGAGAACCCTGAGGGGTCTTCTTTTATTTATCCAGAATGTCTCGATCAAGTCATGATACACAAGTCAAATCAGATTAAAAAAAAAATCCCTTTAAAGGAAACCACTAATCTCAGTCATTGATTAAAAACAATTGTCAAAAAGAAAATTAAAGGTGGTCACCAATATTAGTAGTTCCCAAAACAAAAGTAAAACAATTTATCTTTTAAAAAGTTAGCTTCAAAATGGTGGATTATTACACACATGGAAACATAAGAGACTTACCTTGTATGAATATATATATTTATACACCAAACATATGCACAAACCAATAGAGCTGCAATACCTTCAGCACCTCTTAACCTGTTATAGTACAGTCTTTCCCAGACGCCAGCCTGGTTTGAATACCATGTTTGTCACAGCAACCATACTGCACAGCAACATTATATAACCTACTGACAGGTAAGCAACATTTTCAAACAGCTCAGCCTCTGTTTAAGGTTTGCATATTCCCATGGGCTTGCCTCTTGACACATTTACTGTTGCCATCTCTCCACGGTGAAAGGAAACTCACTGCAGGAGATCTTCCATTTCCACAGGTCTGAGTCGGGGTTTCTGTCCCCATCAGCTGCACTAGACTCTGGCATCCTTTTAAACAGCAAGGAACCTTTCTCTACTCCTGACCTTCACTCAATATCTCCCACCTTGACAGAAGATGCCAGAATGAATTATCGCCCAGGTCCTACAACAGTGACTCTCAGTGCAAAGTCGGCGCTGACTTTACATCCCAGTCAGTCATCTACAACAGATCCCCCTTCCAGTGAACCTGGGTTCCCACTAGTCCAGAGTCAGGTAAGCGTAATGCTTTTGAAAGACAGGATTAAGCCTTGGTTTTGAAAAGACCCAAGCAGCAGCGTCTAAACGATAAATTGGTGAAATCAGTCCCTTCAGCCTCTATTGTATTTATTCTCTTGGGCAGACACCAGATGACTCTGAACAGCCAGGTTCTATCCTGGAAAGTTTGCCCTCTCGGTGATGAGACCTACCTGAATGTTTTTTTCACAGTCTGTTTGCTGGTGAAGGGACAGCTCACTTTCCAGGACAAACTTCTTGCCACATTTATCACAGATCTGCATGCGCCTGTGAGTAACGTTCATGTGCTTCTCCAGGTACCAGCGAGTATTAAAGACCCTGGGGCACTTCTCACAGGTCAGAGTCTCTCTCTCTTCACACTTAGCTTTCTGGACAGGAGCTTTGGGCTCCTTGGCGGCCCGCTTCTTCCGCTTGGGTAGCTCTGCACTCTTCCTACGGCCTCGAGTTGTGCGAGGTGCAGGGGAAGTGGCAGCTGCAGCAACAGAGGCAGCTCTTCGGGTTCGCCTTTGTGTAACCCTGACTTTCTCCACTCGCTTCTCCTTTTTCTTTTGCCGTTCGTTCTCTCCGTAGTTATTGCTGTCATCTGTGGCCTCCTCCTCACTCTCTTCCTCTCCTTCCTCGCTGCTTGTCTTAAGAACAGGAGTCTCTTTGGACTGAGAAGAGACACCCTTTTCCCCTTTAGATACATTTAAAGTTTGATTATTAAGGTTTACCTCCACTATGATCTGCTCCCTTTTGTAAGAGACTTCTTCCTCCTCTTCCGTGTCATCGGAATTCTCCCGGTCTTCCTTGACAGTGTGCACATCAGACACTGCCCTTGTCTCCCTGAAATATGGCTGCTCCTCGGTCTCGTGGAGATGTGGTTTGCTCATCTTGGTGTCCACTAGCACAGAATAAGGGCTTCCAGACTCCCTTTTGTACACTTTGGTGGACAGGTCGAGCTCCTGGCTGGCACCATGGTAGAAGGCAGGTGGCGCCTGACCGCGACGGCTGTCTTCCTGTGCCATTCCTGCTGCACGCACTGCACAGTTCTCAGCCAGCTCCTGGCAAGGACTGGCTGGGTAGCTCATTGGGAAGTGGCCCAGTTTATAAAGCAGCTCAGACTATAGAGAATACCTTGAAAACAGGGCAGTTAAGAATGAAATTGTTCTCCATCTACAGAGAACTAACCACTCAAGTGAAAACAAGAAACTCCAAGAGCCTGTGTGCAATTCTTCCAGTGTCACAGCACCAACGTGCAAGTCAAACAGGGCTGTTCTTACGGCAAGAGAAGAGAACTCTCCTGATTTTCTTCCGAAGAGAGCTACAAGGGACTTGGAACATCTTACCTACAAAGAGAAAGAAAACGGGGGAAAATTATAGCACCATTTCCTCCTTAGGTCACGTGTTTCTCACAACATACAAAATTTAAAATCAAACTCCATACACCATGATGTGTTATATTTCTCAAATGGCTTGGGATGGTTATTGTTTTACAGGCTGTGTGAGTTCCTACTTCCAGTCAGAATGTAAATGCTATCAGTCAAGAGCCACATCTGTTAAATTCACCAAGCTACCTTTAGAGCTTACAATAGTGCCAGTACATAACATGTATTACAGAAATAAATACCTACTAGTGCATGATGTCTGCCATGCTGGAGGCTGCAGGACCTACTGATACCAGTCTAGGGACACAAGAGGCCATGGAGCACTCAAGAGACTCACGCAGGCAACTCCCTTCAGCAGCAGCCACCACACGCACCAGAGTGAGAACCACCAACAGTGGAGGCAACATGAACACTGTAGGCCATGGAAATAAGGCATCTAAGTGGCATGATCACAGAAGAAAAATGTCCTGGTCCTCAGAAGTTATAAACGAAGTGTAACTAGAACCACTTTCAGTCTGACATTTGTTGCAAGGCTCCCTAGATCCTCTCTACAACTGGGTGATTTTTCATGTGTCAGTTGCGGAGAAGTCAAAATTCTGAGAATTAGTAACCACCAGGTCGATGTGGTTCTAAGAAAACTAAAACCATCCATTAAAAAAAAAATCAGAAGGGCATATACAATGTTTGCAACATGCCTTGTATTGCTGTGTGGCCAAGCACCCAACAGCTGAGTCAAATGAGTAACACTGAAGAAACAGTCCTGCCTAGCTGACAGAGGCAGGAAGCCAGTGTTTGCTGAATGCCTTCATGTGGTAGGCACTTGAGATATATTATTATTATTTTGTTTTGTTTTCGAGACAGGGTTTCTCTGTAGCTTGTAGCCTGTCCTGGAACTCTTGTAGACCAGGCTGGATTCGAACTCACAGAGCCTTTCTCTGCCTCCCGAGTGCTGGGATTAAAGGTGTGTGCCACCACCACCTGGTCAAAAATATTGTAATTAATATACTTCATACCTAGTGCAAAACTTTGGGGTTGATTTTTAATTAATTAAAATAAGTAAAGCTTATTTTTTCCTTATTTTAATTGAGACAAGAGTTTCACTACATAGTCCTGGTTGTCCTGAAACTCATTACGTAGACTAGGCCACTTTGGTCTCAAGTGCCGGGATTAAATGTATGGCCACCACTCCTGGCTTTTTTTCATAAAACTGGTTCTACTTGCCTTAAATAAATGATATCTTGATATGTTGGGTTTTTTTAAAAATAACCTTAATAAGAAACTGTTCAGTACACTTGATGTTATAACTTTAACAATTGTAATGGGAGTCAATTTGGCCTCTCTGGCCTGTTCTGCATAAAACAAATGATAATATTAAGGAAGAAAAGGTATGAACAACTATGTTCATAAAGGGAACAAAAAGCAGAGTTAATTTCTAACCTGATTTTGTTACTGTCAATCCTACACTGTACCAACAATCTATATCTTAGTAGTCTACCAATCAAAACATGGGAGCCAAGCAGCACACTGCAAAACTTTCAAGCATGGCCGATTCTCTGGTTTATAAAATAATCATAAGGATTATGCTGGTGGGAGTGCAAGCTGGTACAGCCCCTTTGAATGTCAGTGTGGCAATTTCTCAGAAAATTAGGAAACAACCTTCCTCAAGAGCCAGTAATACTACTTTTGGGTATATATCCAAAGGACGCTCGATCATGCCACAAGGACATGTGCTCAACTATGTTCATAGCAGCTTTGTTTGTCATAGTCAGAACCTGGAAACAACCTAAATGGCCCTCGACTGGAGAATGGATAAGGAAAATGTGGTACATTCACACAATGGAGTACTACACGGCAGAAAAAAATAACGACATCTTTAATTTTGCAGGAAAATGGATGGATCTAGAAAACATCATTTTGAATGAGGTAACCAGACACAGAAAGACAAGTATCACATGTACTCACTCATAAGTGGTTTTTTAAACATAAAGCTAAGAAAATCAGCCCACAAATCACAATCCCAGAGAATTGAGACAACAATGAGGACACTAAGAGAGACATACATAGATCTCATCTACATGGAAAGTAGGAAAAGAGAAGATCTCCTGAGTAAATTGGGAGCATGGGGACCATGGGGGAGAGTTGAGGGTAGGGGAGAGGAAGGGAGGGGAGCTGAGAAAAATGTAGAGCTCAGTAAAAATCAATAAAATAAAAAAATAAAAACAAAAAAAAGGTTGGAAGAAAAAAATAATCCTAAGGATTTGTATTTAGGCAAAGCACTTTGTCACATACTTGTTGAACACTTAAGTGCTTCCCATCTGCTAGGTACTTCAGGAGTTGTAACAGGCTGGCTGGAAGAGGACAAAGCAGGGTTGCTTCCAGTTACTACCTAATGACTTGCAAGCATCAACAGTCTCCACATTTCCACACAAGAACAAAACCAAGTATGTATTACTCATCACACAGCCAGCTTAAGCAATTTTAACTTTCACCAAATAACCCCCTAGGGCCAAAGATGCAATCAAATACTAAGTAAGCTACATTGAAAGATCTACGGAATCCCAATGAGTGTTCAAAGCATTTTTCCACTATTCAGTTCTATCCACAAACATCATCTCTAGGCAGAAATATGTTTTAAACAAAAGGAACTATTTATTTTTAAAGTAAGGAGTTTTATGTGTATTACTGAGATAGTTTTTATTAAAATCTGACAAAGTTGAGGCTCTATTAAAATTCAACACCTCTCAAGAACCAGAAGAAAATGTGGTGTGACTCTGCCCACCTCTGCGTCCAGCAGGAAGGTGTGAGAAGACAACCCCAAAGTCAAAGTCATTTTTACCTATTTATCAAGTTTGATGCTGGGGCACTGGGAGGGCTCAGTCTACCCATGACCAAGGGTAGTTCTGTAGGATACAATTTTTAATACAGTAGTCTTTAAGATGGCTAACAAGGGGCTGGAGAGATGGCTCAGCGGTTAAGAGCACTGACTGCTCTTCCAGAGGTCCAAAGTTCAGTTCCCAGCACCCACAAGGCAGCTCACAACTGTCTGTGACTCCAGTTTGAGAGGATCACACAGATATACATGCAAACACAACGCCAACGTGCATGAAATAAAGATGGCTAAACAAAAGAAAAAAAACTATGTAAAGAATGAAGATAAACATTTTCTTTACTTAAAAAAAAAAAAAAACCAGGATCTCAGACTGGAGAGATGGCTCAGAGGTTAAGAGAACTGACTGTTGTTCCAGAGGTCCTGAGTTCAATTCCCAGCAACCACATGATGACTCACACCCATCTATAATGAGATCTGGTGCCCAGAACACTATATACATAATAAATAAATTTAAAAAAAAACCAAACAAACAGGATCTCACGATGTAGCCTTGGCTGACCTGAAATTCTCTATATAGACCAGAGTGATTTGGAACTAACAGAGATCTGCCTGCCTCAACCTCACGAGTGCTAGTATTAAAAGTATGTACCACCATGCCTGACCCTACAATTTTATATTTCACAAAAATTAAAAGTTACAAATACTTTATTACTTTGTTTTCCTTTTTTGACATAGGGTCTCACATTCTTCAAGCTGGCTTCAAATTATGTAACTTTGAATGACCTTGAACTTTTTAAAAATTACTATTAATTTTATGTGCATGGGTGTTTTGTCTATCTTATACTATGGGTACAGCTGGTGCCCAAGGAAGCCAGAAAAGGGCATGGGATCCTCTGGAACCGGAGTTACAGATGGCTGTGAGCCACCATGTGGGTGATGGAAATTGAACCTGGGTCCTCCGGAAGAGTAGCCAGTGCTCTTACCCCCGAGTCATCTCTCTAGATCCCACCTTGATCTTCTGCCCCCTCCCCATTTCCTGAGCTAGGATTACTGGTGGGTGCCACCACTGTTTTATGTGGTGCTGGGAACCAAATTCAAGTTTTCATATGTGCTAGCCAAACAGTCTCACTATATAGCCTAGAGTGGCCTCAATCTTGGGTTCTGTTCTGCCTCTGCCTCCTAAGTGATTGGATTACAGGTGCATACCACATGGCTTACACACACACACACACACACACACACACACACACACACACACACCTACTTTAGATGTGTGGAATAGTGTCAGGAAAGGCTGGTGATCTGTTATTTTCTTTCTAGTAAATATTTTTGGCATCTCAAAAAAGTAACACTTTTTTTGGGGGAAAAATATCAAATCTTAGACCAACAGCTATAAATAAATAGTCTACAACAAAATATATTTCAACAGATAGAAAGGGTTAGTCCAAACCATAATATAGCCAAAGGGAAAGATGGATTGCTAATACGTCACCTGCCTTTTGCTCCCAGCAAGCCTGCACACATCTCTTCTTAGTAGAAGCTCTTAACACTGTTAAAAGTCTCTTAAAAATTAAGAATCTTCTCTACACCCCTAAAAATGAGTACAGACAATTTCACATGCAGTTTCTAGGTTGCTATCCATTTCTTAAAACCTACCAATGAGTTCCCAGGGCTCCAAGCTCCAAGATAAGAAAAAAGCAGATTTTATTCTTTCTTATCTGCATATTTAGACAAAGCATATGGACTGAATTTTTCTCTGCCTTTCTCACTTAGCTTCCTACCAACTTTTCTTCTTATTTCTATAGCACATATATTGGTCAGAAATGGATTAACAGGGGCTGGAGAGATGGCTCAGTGGTTAAGAACATTGGCTGCTCTTCCAGAGGACCCAGGTTCAATTCCCAGCACCCACATAACAGTTCACAACTGTCTGTATCTCCAGTTCCAGGGGATGTGACACCTTCACACCAATGCACATAAGATAAATTTAAATAAATTATTATTATTATTTTAAATTATTTATTTATTTAGTATACAATATTCTGTCCCAAGCCAGAAGAGGGCACCAGACCTCATTACAGATGGTTGTGAGCCACTATGTGGTTGCTGGGAATTGAACTCAGGACCTTTG